CTGGGCAGCCTGTTCCAGTGCTCCGTCACCCTTAGAGGGAAGAAGTTCTTCCTCATGTTCAGGTGGAACTTCCTCTGCTTCAGTTTGTGCCCATTGCCCCTTGTCCTGTTGCTGGGCACCACTGAAAAGAGTCTGGCCCCATCCTCCTGACACCCACCCTTCAGATATTTGTAGGCAGTTATAAGGTCCCCTCTCAGCCTTCCCTTTCTCTCATTTTACTCTTGTAGCTGTTTCTACCTATTGAGTTGGAAGATCTCAGAGGTGAGAGGCACACACAAGCTGCTGTGCCTGTTAATGATTTTTTTTTTTTCCCCCCGACCTAAAGACTGGGTCTAAGTCATATTGGTCTTCTAAGACCCATGTGTTCCACTTTTCAAGTTAGAATCATGTCAAAAATGCTGGCCCGACATGCTGTGCTGGTACTTTCTTCTTTCCTGCACATGCATGTACTTACTCCTCAGTACCAGGACCGAGAGGAAGACAATTAAAAAGACCTTTCATAGGACAACTCTTTTGTTATCTTGGTGTGTTGCTCAGCACAACCTGCACAACACCTGGCTCTCTGCTGACCTGTTGAAGAAGATAATCTGAAAGGCCAAGAAGTTTCTGTCAACCAACACATTTCTTACCAAGTTTCATCTGGGTACTCAGACCATTTCTTAATATTTCATGCAGAATAAGCTGGGAATGAGATTTGGTGATGAAAGGAATTATATGTGTTTAAATAATGCATCTGGGACTGGCTTGTGAAAAAGAACTCACTGTTGAGACACTAAGATGATAAACACTAAGGGGAAATTTTGGTTCTTCATAGTGCTTTTAAATAAACTTGAACCAAAAATGGCTTCATAAAAGCTTGCCCTGTGAGTTTGTGTTTATTCAAACCAGAGAACATTAAACTGTCGTCTGCCAGAGGTCATTAATGCCATCTCTCTTCTCTGAGGCAAATCACCTATATATCTTGCTTTACAAATATTTGTTTGACCTGCCATTGAAAACTGCTGCTGAGAGGGTTTTCCAGCCTCTCTAAATAGTATTAATCTGATTAATTTGTATCCTACCCACTGCAGACCCAGGAAGCAACTGATTGCCGCCTTTATTTGTTTAAGTTTATGTAAACCTTTCTCGATTTTTGAGGTTTTATCATGCTTTATGCCTGGGAATTAAACTTCCCCTATGCTTCTAGTCTGTCTTTATTTTTTTTTTTTTGTCTTCTCAATGGTTGCATTTTCTGAAACCTCTTATTTTGATTCCTCTTTTCTGGCTTCTTTTTAAGTTGTCTGGCTTCTCTTAAATTGTGGTAGACCAAACTAGAAGCTGCTGCCTAACTGAGATCTCAATACATTGTGCACATCTTAACGTATGTAGTCATGAGAAGGAGGAAACGTTCCTGGAAAGTTTATTTTTCTTGGTGAACATGGTTGAATTCAACTGTGTTTTATATAGATGGGGCTTTGCTGTCCTTCTGCTTGGCATTTCCTGATGATGTGAAGTGAAGAATAAGGTTTTGAGACCTTGTATTTGTATGCAAATTAGCACTACTGTGTTTTTTCTCAGGGCACGTGGGGTGTTTTGCATTAAGAGTATACCATGTGCACACTAGTGACCTCTCTGGGCACTGACATGGCACAAAACCACGACATGTGGAGGTGTGGCCAGGAATTTGTGCAGCCTTGTTTGCTGCTCTCTGCCGTCGCAAGTGTCTGGATCCCTTCTCCGAACTCTGCAGAGGTCAGTGAAAATGCTAGCAGAGGCAACGACTGCTGTGGGAGCAAGGGCTTTCCTTGTGCCGAGACTGATTTTCCCAGAGTAGCGGAAGAGTATGGCACCCTATAGTACAAGAGCCCAACAGTTTCTGCAGTTGCCCCTGGAAAATGCGGTAAAAACCAAACTGCAGCTCACCTCCCCCACTTCTGCCTCTCACTAGTGTAGGAAACGGGCCTCTGAATTACTAAGATAACAAACCAGATAAGGAACTCGCTGTTGTTGGACTCAAGGGTTTCACGACTGATGCCGGCTGCCTGGAGAACGCACGCAGAAGAGGTGGAATGCTGCAGAGAACTTTATGGTGAAGACGGTGAGAAAAATGATGTAGATCTTCACAGACATAAAACCTGCAGCAAAGGAACCCATGTCTCAGTGGTACCAGGAAAAGCAGCCATGAACATGAAACAACAGCTCTCTGCTCCGCTGCCTGCCCTCTTCCAGTGCCAGGGCCTCGTCCTGCGTGGGGGTGGTGGTCTGCAGAGCTGCAAGCAACCATGGGCTGCCTGTCCCTCTTCTTTAGCGTCTGCGTTTGCTGAGCATGCGCTCTTGCTGGGAGCAGGAAGAAGCAGGAGCTGGTGCCCGAGCATGCTCCTCGCCTTCGCTTACCTTGTGCGCTCCTTCTCTGTGCTGCAGGAAAACAATAAAACCAGCATGTGCAAATGGGGGTGTCTTGATTTGGTGGTTAAACTTAAACATCGGAGGGAGAATTTGGCTATTGTAAAGCTCCCATTTTTTTTTTTTTTTAAAAACCACAGCAAAATCCCAAAACCCAGTAACATAAAAACCTAAAAGTCTTTTTCTGAAAAAAATGAAAATTCTACTTGTCTCTGAGAATCCTGGTTTCATACTTGCCTTTTAAGTATTAAAAATATTGTTCATATCTTTGATTTAAAAAGTTGGACAAATTGGAAATGAAAAATATTTAGACACCAGTTTTTGGTGTAATTTCCATATATTGAGTAGGTTTCTCCTGACTGTAATTTTTGGAGCAGTGCATAGGCTTGGATACTGTTTGAGTGTATTTTCATCTTTATCTGCTGCACCTTCCTTCTTCTCCTAGGCCTTTAGCATGAAGCATTTAGGACCGTTCATTGTGTGGAAGTTTTCTACTTCTGTTTTTTGGAGTCTTGGCTCTCTGCTTTCCGAAGTAAATTTGCTCAGTCACTTTCTGTTTACTACGTTTTCACAGCCTGTGAGCAGAACAGAGATGCACGTATTTAAAGAGACACTTAAAATGTTTCTCTGTGTTTTGGTAAATTTTGTGCACTGAAGATACCCCGGAGTGTAATAGTGAAAATGCCAGTCGCCTGTTGTTGGCAAGATCTGTAATGCTTGTAATGCCACGGAGTGGTAGCAGTCTGGAGCCTGATACTGGTGAACAAGACAGAACAGAGTGAAAAACAGAAGTTTTGAAGAGTTTGGAGGAAAATCAAAAAAAAGTTTTGCTATAGATACTAACGTCCTCTTCCACAGCTTTTCAGCCTGTCAGAAATGCCAAGTCTATGTCTTTGTTTTTGCGTAGTAGTTACGTGAAATCATCTCTGCAAAAGGTTTTATTTCTGTATTTCCTCACAATCTGGTACAGAAATATCCTGTTGTGCTTATAGGTGTGGTGCAGTAGGGAACATTTGTAGTTTGGTCTCGTATTTATACAGCACGTTTGCATTTTCTGACAGCTTGTTTCTTTTTATTTAAAAATGCAGACTAAGAAAGACTGAGGTTGAAGCCTGTCAGTGCTGAACATCATTTAAAATCTTGACTGTCTTTCTGTGCACAGGTGCAACCTTCCTCCTCTATCCAGTGAATACAGCAAGGATGTCGGATCAAAAACCCAGCTGGTGACTGCAAATCCCAGTATAATTCAGAAAAGGTAGAGTTCATATTGTTCCTTCTCTGGTTGGGGGAAACAAAAAGCAGAATGCTTCATCTGTGTTATAGATATTAGTGCATCAGAGTTATGTTCTTTAAGATCTTCTGATCCTGGAAAAGGATCTGGAAAAGATGAAATGGGCAATGGTTTGGTGTTAGGTGAAATAATCCGAGACTGAACCCCTGATAGCACTGTTACCACTGAACCACTGTTAGCAGGGAAACTAAGGGAGGCTAGCTTTTACAGAGTTACTTCTTCTACCGTACGCCCCGCAGCGCTTCCAGCTCCCTCCCTTTACCATGCGCTGGGCACGTGCCAGAGGTGCTTTGGCTGCTCCCAAGCCAGGCATCTGCTGCTGGGTGGCCCAAACTACTCTGTTAATGAAGGTGCTGATTTGGGTTTCTCTTTGCTTCACCACTGGTAACCTCTAGGTCCTTACTGTCTTTGTATTACTTGTTTGATACTGATTTATGGGTACAAATGTGATTAGGACAGAACTGATCGGCAGGTTGTGATCAACAAGCCTCACTTTCTTAGGAAACTGGGACAAATTTTTGTTGATTATTAGAGTTGGTTGAAATTTTCCAAATGTCAGTAGCTGATGAGAGAGGGGAAGGGATGAGGGGGAGGAGAAAGTCAACACCGTCTCTCTCATTTTGCCTTCCTGAATTTTAATTGCTATGTTGTTTGTTTGTCACCCGGAGTGAGGTAGGCTGTTCTTGGGCAGAACAAGATCTGATTGAACAGAACGAGAACCTGCCACATTCACTGAAAAGCACAGAGAAAAGGCATAAACCAAGGGGATAGACAGGAAATGATTAGGCGTAAAGAAATGTATGATGTGGGTACTGGGAGGTGAGAGATTGTGAAAGGAAGCAAAGCAGGGAAATGAAATGAATAATAGGAAGCCAGGTGTTTTAGAAAGAAGAAAGGCACAGACTTGGAAATGGATGTTTGATGGTATTTAAATGTAATAGTTTTCCTCTCTATCAGGAATTGAAGAGTTCTCTGTGTTGTGTGTGGAAAAGATGACAGTCTTTGACAAAGTAGAAAAGAGAGAGCGAGCAAGAGGGAAATGGAGTAGTGATCAGCTTCAAGAGCTGACTCCAGGCAGAGAACGTCTGAGTAGGAGAAGGCACAGCAGTGCTTGTGGGATGAGATCAAAGCGAACCATGCAGAATTGGCAGAGGATGGCACCAGGTGCCAGGCGAGAAGAAGGAGCTGCTCAGGGAAGTGAGCCTGAAGATGGAGATTCTAAAAATCCTGTGGGACTTAGGTGGCTAAGGAGGTTGATTTAAGAAGTAGGGTGAAACGGCCAGAACATCCCATCAAGGAAAGGAGATCAGTTTGGCCGTGGCATTTTGGATAAAAGGAAGAGGAGCAGTGTGAAACACAAAGCTTACAAAGCATTTTAATAATCCTCTGCCTTGACAACTGTAAACTCATGGATATTTATTATGCACCCTCCTCCATCAAGGCCTAGAGTGGAAAGCTTACTGTACTTAGTATTTTTGCACAGAAGAGGGAAAGGAAAAAAAGAGTTTTAGTGATGCTACAAGGAGACTGTGGAGCTACACTAGAGAGACGGTGGAGTTATCCATCCAGAAGGAAGGGAAGGAGTGAGCAGATGGTTGAAGAAGCAGATGGAGAGAATGAAACTCTGCTTTGTGAGAGGGAGATATGACAAGGAGGAGTGGAGAAGGAGGGAAATGGGAAAAGTGAAAGGGATGAAGGAATAGATGGGGAACAGGAAATGGGATTGTGTTCAGTGTCAGTTTTCAAAATGGGTGGATGATAGCTGCGATGTGAGACCTTTGATGAGAAAGTAATGTGGGATGTATATGCATGTGTATTGATTAGATAAGGAGATATAAAACCAGTAACTGAAAATGAGACAGAGAACAAATTCATAGTGCTGAAAATTGGCAGAAACCTCCTCTGAGGCTTGGAGCTCTTAAGAGATCTGACACTTTGTTTCCTCAGGAAGAGGAAGAGATTTTTTTTAAAACAGTATTTTACTCATGTTTCCTGTATGCTATCCAAAGCCATTATTTTACCTCCTGTGTGTTAAGTTAGAGCTGGAAAAATAGATGAAAGCTTGGAAGTTAAAATAGAAAAAAAAACTACTACTCTGTCAACTAATAATCCATTTCTATGGAAAGAAGCTTTTTAAGGAATTAAGACTGCATAGAAGTCCAGACTTTCATGAAATTCAAAGAAATTCAGATTGGTGACTGGTACGTATCTGTTTCTAAGCTGTAAGTTAACTAGCCTCACATAATGGTGTTATTCATTATCATTCTTCCCCTCTACTCTTGTCGTTACTTTAAGGAGGTTGATGTTGATGAGGCCTGACATCTCAATTATCTCTCAAGTGTGTTATGGCAGATTTAGTGAATTGGTCCTGCATCACCATTCATGGCTTCTAAAAGATTTATCCTTACCAGATAATTTATGATGAAGCATGTTGGATAAGGCAAAGTTGTCATACCAGGAATGTGGAGTTAATTTTCTGTGTAGTTTTAAAACCAGAATGATTGCCTTTAGGAAGCTAAATTGCTGGCAGTAATTGTTGCTGAGTGATATCTGAGCTACCACCATTTCCCTCTAGACTTAGAGCCTTGGGATGGGAGAGTGAAGATTTTAATCTGGGAGTACATTGGCTTTAAAGATAAATTCTAAACATTGTCTTCTGCAAAACTTCGAGGAGACAATTAATAATGAAAATATTAGAGATCAAGTTCCTACTCTGTTTACAGCAGGAAATGTGACTGTGCAGGCAGTACAGTTTTCACTTGTAAAATATTGTGCTCAGTTCTCATTTGGGTTAGAAAAATGATGATGAGTTTCCTGACTTTGCTTCATATGGTACAGGAGTCCTCACAATGGAGGCATTAAAATAGAAATTTGCTGGGCTGACTAAAAGGACTTGTGATGACTGCTCCAGTTTCTTTTTTTGTCTAAAATATTTCACAGGCATCTCCCTTTAATTAATATTGGACCTCACAGTCCTTTGAGCCTGTGTAAGACTGCTTTTTCCACTTTGCATTCAGACCTTGCCTCTCTGTCAAACACTGGTTTGAGGTTGCAGTTACCACTGAAATGTTTCATAGAGCTACTGCCGGGGCCACTGCGACATCTCCCACCCTCTACCCCCCAGTACTCTTGAGGGGCTGTTGATTTCTTTATGTTTCCAGCACTCCTCTACCACCCCAGTCAGCTTGGCTTTGTCTCTAGGGAACCACTTTGTAGGCAGAAGATTATTCTATATGTGTCCTGGGTTTGATTTTCTTTCCATGAGTAGCTGCTGTGAGTTCCTGCTAGGAAGGAGGCAGTGCAGTGACGAGTCCTGTGATCTGCCTGCAGCCGTTCTGAGACTCTGGGAAAAATCAGCAAGGTTATGTCATTGACAGTGATTGTTTGTTTCTGTATTTGGAACACTTGTCTACAGCTGTGGAGAGGGACTAGTCAGTGGGTAGCATGGGAACGTAAAAATGCTTGAATAGGTAGTGATGTTTTTCAACCCACGGCACAAGATTTTTGACTAAGAACTGCAAAGAGTTATTATTTGGGATGTGGATATTGTGTGTTTCTGAAGTCACTGGATCTGGGCTGTTAAAGAGAAGCAAATTCTAGCAATTTCTTACCATCTTCAACAACTCTTGCAAATGTCATGTAATAATACTCTTATCTTTTCTCTAAACTTTAATTCAATCTGCAAACAAATGCTGTTTGCAGCAATCTTCCTTTCTAGTCACCATGTCTGCTTACTCTGTCTCACCCAGGCAGACATACATCATCGTTAATGTGGTATAGTAGTCCATGTAGATGGTTTCCCAGCATTCAGTATGTTTCAGATCGACTGATGTTTGTTGGTGAGTGTTTTACCCACGAGCTGCGTGAGTGTTTCTGACCTGTGTAGAAATAATCCCATTAGGACATGGCACAACAGCTATGGTAATGTTCTTTATTTGCCATAATTCAGCATTTCTGTAGCTGGGAGAATCATAGAATCGTAGGTTGGAAAAGACCTCTAAGACCATCAAGTCCAGCCATCCACCCAACACCACCATGCCTGCTAAACCATATCCTGAAGTGCCACATCTACACGTTTTTTGAACTCCTCCGGGGATGGGGACTCAACCACCTCCCTGGACAGCCTGTCCCAATGCCTGGCCACTCTTTCAGTACAGAAATTTTTCCTACTATCCAATCTAAAGCCCCCAAGGTATGTAACACACACCTTCCAACGCTGTCTTTGAGACGCGATCTGATAATAGGATGAATTGTGTGAAGCTTTCTCCCTTCTCCATTCAGGGTGCTGTTATCTTGTGAGCACTGATGGTGTGGTGGAAGGAAGACACGTTGCACCTGGGGGAGAGCAGGCAGCCCTGCAGCTGCTCAGGGGGCTGCTGCGGCTGCTGGCAGCTTGAGGAGTGGATGGGGGGACTCGGGGTTGCTGCCCTTGCAACACCTGCTGTGTGATGAGCAATTAGATCTGCTCCTTTCCCTGGAGAAACCCCTCCCTTCCTCCTAGTTGCCTTGGAAGGGAGAACTCGGACTTTTCCGCTACCTGAGCTCTGCGTGCTGGAGAGCACGTCAGACCCTGGCAGGGGCAGAGGGTGGACTGATGCTGCTGGTCTGGCAGGAGAGGAGAGCCCTTCTGCTGAAGGGAGGAATCGAGGTGCCCATCCCCACCTCCAGCTCTCCTCTACAGCTGCTCTGGCCCCGCGTGGGTCCCCGAGAGCGGGAGCTTTGTGCAAGCTGGGCTCGGAGGCACCGCTCTGCGCCCCTGTTTGATACCCCCTCACCGCATCACCTCAGTCCTCTTGGATGAGGACTGGGTCATTCCTGGATGTGTCTAGGGCTTTGGAGTTTACCATAATTAGGTTCATTATGAAAATTTCTGTGCAAGTACCTGCGCTGTCAGAGACAGGGTGGGGGTGTAGGTGATCCATGTTTCTGCTGCTATGGCGTTTCTACTAGGGTGTGCCTTGTTG